TGACCTTAACCCCCGGTTTGGGGAGGCCTGTGGAGATGGAGACCTTACTTGGGGAGGTTAGAGGAGCTAGGATTTCTTTTGGTGGAAGTGAGGGAAATTTAAGCGAGAGGGAGGAATATATAATATTAGTGCACCTGAATGTATTGAGAAGGACGAGCTGGTCACTGGGGAGGCGTGAAACTTGCCTCGGGGTAACTCTTCAGTCAGTATTGGTGCAAAGTCATTGAACAGCTGGCGGTGGCCAGGCCGCGGTGGAGACCTGTGTGCAGAGCAGGGTTGGGACTAGCCCTTCAGGGGCTGGCTCTCAGTCTCCGGCCACCCTGGTCCCCAGCGTACACTGGGCCGGAGGAGGAGGCGTCCCTGGAGTTCCTGCTGACAGACTACGAGGCTGTGTGTGGCCGCCGGGACCGGCTGGAGCGCGAAGTCCAGGGGGCCTTCCTCCGCTTCATGGCCTGTCTGCTCAAGGGCTACCGGGACTTCCTGCGTCCACTCACCAAGGCGCCCTCTGAGGGGGCTCGCGATGTGGACAACCTCTTCTTCCTGCAGGGTAAAGAGCTTGGGAAGGGCATCACGGGCAGCGTGGCTGGGGGGCTGGGGACCACTCAGTGGCTTGTTCCTAGGGCTCAGCAGACATCTGTATGGGCACCAGCTTTGAGCCATACACTCTTTTGGGCTTGGAGGAGTAAGGGCACAAAGCGGAACCGGCTGTGGCCCTGCCCTCTGGGGCCTTGGGTTTGGGGTGAGCCGCCCCCATGGGCAGATCTCTCTTCAGGGACACTGCTTTGGGGAAGCCCCAGAGAGAGGGAGGGAGTACAGACAGACAAAAGGGGCCATGGTGCTGGGGAGCTGAACCAGTCCGCTTGGAGTGTGGGGTAGTGTCAGAGGGGCCAAAGAGATGGAAGCTTGGACGGGCAGGGGACCAGGAGAGGGGTTCACCAGGGGTGTGGCCGCGGTAGGAAGCCTGGTAATCTCCCCCCCCCGCCCCGTTCTCATGCCCTCAGGTTTCCTCAAGTCCCGGGAGCGCTCCAGCCACAAGCTGTACTCGCAGCTGCTGCACACGCAGATGTTCTCGCAGTTCATCGAGGAATGCTCCTTTGGCTCCGCTCGGCACGCTGCCCTCGAATTCTTTGACTCTTGCGTTGATAAGGTTTTGAGCACTGTCCCTTCTCTTCGTGCCCATTGCCCTCTGCTCTCCTCCTGGCTGTCTCTGTGACCCCAGGGCCACCATAAACACAGCTCTGTATCTGGTCTGTGACGGGATGGCGCCCCTGGAGTTACTCAGTGCAGAGCCTGTGTCACCACACATGGTGGCTTACATGTACCCCATCTTTCCATTCCTGACGCCATCCCCGCGCTGTATCTCAGGACCTCGGTGAAGTCTCAGCGCACTTGCTCCTTCCCCCGGGGTGTGCTTTCCTGGGAGATGCCACCTGCCACCTTCCGGACACGCTGGCTCTGCTCCACATGCCCTTGATGCTCACTCTCTTACCGTCCTGTCCCAGGTCCACCCAGAGCAGGAGAAGCCTGAGGCGACGCCCTTGGTGGAGCTGGAGGAGCTGTCGGGAAGTGAGCTCACTGTCTTCATCACGCCTCCCGAGGAGCCCCCGGTGCCCGAGGGCAGCGAACCCACTCCCCAGTACTGGTGAGCGCCCCTGGCGCCCTCGCCGGTTCCGAGGCCACACGGGCTAGCCGAGTGCTGACTGCCCCCATGTTGCCTCTCTGCCCCTCCAGCTACGATGGATTTCCAGAGCTACGGCCTGAGCTGTTTGAATCTCCCCAAGAGCAAACGGGGGCTCTGCCTGTGCCCGGCCCGGCCCGTAGTGCCCCGAGCAGTCCTGCTCCTCGCCGTACCAAGCAGGTAACCAGCAGGTGCCCCTCGGAGGCAAGGGCTCAAGGGCTGTCGCTTCAGCTTCTTCATCCGTAAAATGCGCATAATAGTACCTGTGCCGTAAGGTTGTTAGGAGGGTTACGTGTGCCTGGCACAGAAAACATTTGGTGTTGTTACCGTTGTCATCATCATTGTCTTCATCTTCTGAGCACTCTGGGAACCAGGAGTGTGTTGCCTCTTCCAGGGCATCTGCCCATCCTCAGGGGCTTGGCCCCTTTGCCCAGGGCTCTGGGGGCTGAAGCCTGTGTGTGCAGCAACCCCCCTGCCTCCTCCAAACACAGCCCCTTCCTCAGGGAGGGGGCTGCTTCTCCCACAGCATTTTAAGACCTGCTCTGCCCTGCCGTTGTCCCCTACCCCATCTAGGAGATGAAGGTCGCACAGCGAATGGCGCAGAAGTCTGCGGCGGTGCCTGAGCTGTGGGCCCGGTGCCTGCTGGGGCACTGCTACGGGCTCTGGTTCCTGTGTCTGCCTGCCTACGTGCAGTCAGCGCCCTCCCGGGTGCAGGCACTGCACACGGCCTACCACGTGCTGCGCCAGATGGAGCACCACAAGGTGGTGCTGCCCGATGAGGTGGGTGCCCATGCCCAGTCCCAGGCGTGCTTGTGCCGTCCTGGGTACTAGGAGATTCACTGGGACCTGGGAAGGCAGATGGGGGGGCATTGGCACAAGCCCTGGAGGAGTTGCCAGGTGCTTTGTAAGATTCACTGAATGAATGAGCATGACCAGGAACAGCAGCAGGGACGGGAGGGTGGCGGGTCAGCTGGAACAGTGGCAGCTCTCAGGCAGCTCCAGGAGCTGCCGGGGCCAGGGGAAGTCTGTGAGAACCCGAGAGGCTGGAAGAGGTGCTTGCTGAGACTTTAGGGTTTGGGG